AGTATATAAAAAACAAGTGTAGCAATTATCCTTGTGATTTAAACTGGATTTGGGTTAGGTTTTTTTTTTTTTGTTTGTTTAATGCTCTGGAGTCATCAACAAATATTAATCAACTTTAAACATTTTGACGATGATGATGATGATAATAATGATTTGTTTCATTTTTGATCAAGGTGTTTTTTCCTCTTACTTTATAATTCTATTTATTTGTTTATTCATTCAGCGTTAACAATAATAATATGTGTAATTTGTGTAAAATAACACAAGTCTACCATCCTTTAGAAAAACAACAACAACAACAACAAAATAACAATATTTGCAATCAAAATTTGGTTCCAAACACAAATTTCTAATAAAAATGCAGGGTTCCACACAATCTTTTTCTTGTTAAGTTAATCAAATTGTTTTTAAAAAATTAGGTGGATTAATTATAAAACTATTAAGTTGTCCCCCCAAAAAACTCAAGAATTGTGTTGTTTCGGCTCATTTTAAGTAAGTAGTTTGAACTTGTATATTTGGGAGCAGAATTCATCGCATCTCTACAACAATTCGTCTTAACAATTATCTAAATAAATGACCTGTCTTATGCATATCATCCAAGCATAAAATTAACCTAATAGCATATCATATACACTCTAGGAAATGCTGGATTATTTAGAATTGAAAAATTATCTAAATAAATTACCTTTAATCCATCATTCATTAAACTAATAATCATAAATTTACCTAATAATAATCATAAACACTCTAGGAAATGTTGGGTTGTTTAAAATTGAACAATCATCCAAATAAATGACCTATCATCCACACATCAAGTGAATTAAACTAATAATATATCATATACACTCAAAGAAATGCTGGGTTATTTAAAATCAAACACTTATCTAAATAACTGCCCATCAGTCATTAAACAATTAACCATGAATTAACCTAATATTATATCATATATACTTTAGGAAATGCTGAGTTGGAACATATTTCAAAATAAATGACCTTTCATCCATCATCCATTAAACTAATGATCATGAATTAACCTAATAATAATCATAAACACTCTAGGAAATGCTGGGTTGTTCAAAATTGAACAATTATCCAAATAAATGACCCATCATCCAAGCATCAAGTGAATTAAACTAATATTATATCATATACACTCAAAGAAATGCTGGGTTATTTAAAATCAAACATTTATCTAAATAACCGCCCCATCAGTCATTAAACTATTAACCATGAATTAACCTAATAGTATATCATATACACTTTAGGAAGTGCTGAGTTGGAACATATGTCTAAATAAATTACCTATTATCCATCCTCCAATACATTAATAATCATGAATTAACCTAATATTATACTATATACAATTTAGGAAATGCTGAGTTGGAACATATGTCTAAATAAATGACCTTTCATCCATCATCCATTAAAGTAATAATCATGAATTAAACTAATAATATATCATAAACACTCTAGCAAATGCTGGGTTGTTTAAAATTTAACACTTAATGATCTGTCATCCTTCACCTATTAAACTAATAATCACAAAATAACCTAATAAATTTATATAATAAAAAACACTCTAGGAAATGCTGGGTTATTTAAAATTAAACTATTATCTAAATAAATGACCCATCATCCAAGCATAAAAATGAATTAAACTAATAATATATCATATACACTCTAAGAAATGCTGGGTTATTTTAACCCAAATGTGGTAAAATATGAACAACCTAAACATTTGCTTACAATTGTGCTTAATTCAGAATATTAACCCAGCAGTTGAATTGAAACAACCCAGCATTTTTAGTGTATAACACAACTAAATACGAATGTAACGTGCACATATTGTGTAAATCCACAACACACACTCAATACATAATACTCAAATATTAAATGAGCTGAGACAACACAGTTCTTGAGGTTTTTTTGGACAACTTAATTGTTTTATGTTCAATCCACTTACATTTGTACAAAACTACTAAGCTAACTTAATTCCTTCATGTTGTCCCAACACAAATCAATTATGTGGAACCCAGCAATGCAGTACAGCACATTAACAGCACCACTAGTCTATTTATCTACCAGCAAACTTCAGAAGTCGAATGAGAACGGCTGTTTTGTGTCGGTATATATACGGTGGACGCGGTCAGCCAGCGACTGCTCCTGCCCGGTGTTATTGTGACAGCCAGGATGTGGGTTCAGGACCTCTGGTGAAGTCGGGGTCATGCGAGACAATCATGCCAGCACACAAGTGGGTTTTAGCGCGCCCCTTTCATTCACGTGCAGAGAAAGGTGCCCCTCCTCTCAGCATACAGCTTCAATTCCTACTGCTTCCCCAGGGAAAATACTGCCTTTCTCTAAATAAATCTCTCTCACACACACACATACATATACACTCCAGTAGCAGAGCAATGCTTTGCGGGACGTGACCTCGGCTCTCCTTTAGGTAAACTGGCACTCCTGGCTATGCGCAAGACCTGTGACTTCTTTTCTCAGCTTGATCCTACTGGGAGAAGGCAGGAGATGCATATGTAATCCTGATTGTGCGTGCGTGTGTGTGTGTGCGTGTGTGTGTGTGTGTGTGTGTGTGTGTGTGTGTGTGTGTGTGTGTGTGTGTGTGTGTGTGTGTGAGAAAGACTGAAGGGAGTTCTTTTGTTCTTCTTATTTATCACATGCTTATTTTACTATGAAAAGGAGCAGAGTTC